CAGAGGAGGAGACGCAACGACAAGAGAAGACGGAGGAGGAGACGGGAGGAGGGGAGGTCGAGACGCGTGGGAACGGAGCAACATAGGGTGAGAGCGCGGGACAGGGGAGACAGGACGAGCACGAGAGGGGCGGCGAGACCAGACGTGTGAGGGCGGCGTCGGGTCAGGAGACAGAGGAGGGGACACAGGAGGGGAACGAGGGGGAAGACGAGCCGGGGACGAGTCTGGCAGAGGGAACACGGGGCCGTAGACGGGAAGAGGGGGAGACGGCAGGAGAGGAACAGGCGCAGGGTCAGGAGACGGAAGGCCGAGCAGACGGAGGGCGGACACAGGCGGGGACTGCTGCTGCGGCGACACAACACCAACACCAGGGCCACAAGCTGCGCGACGGCTACCTCCCGAACCCTCCACACCTGCACCCCCAGAAGGGACACCCCCAGAGTCCACAAACGGCGGCAGCGACGACAGCGGCGGCGGCGGCGGCGGCTGCAGCGACGGCTGCGACGGCGGCGGCGGCGGAGACGACGGCTGCAACGGCGGCGGCGGTGGAGACGACGGCTGCAGCAGCTGCGGCGACGGCGGCTGCGGAGGCGGTGGAGGAGGAGACACCGGGGGAGGGACAGACGGCGAGGACTGCGCCGGAGGACTACCAGAGTCAGAAGACTCGTCGACCGGGACGACCGACGGGAGGGGGTGACGTGAGACACACCAGAGGGGGCCGGACGGGGGGCGGGGGGGGGAGGGGCAGGGACCACCAGGGAGGGAGGAACCAGGAAAAGGGGGGGAGTAACCGGGGGACCACGGTGGGGAAAGCGGCGGTAGAAGGAGACGGACTCGTCAAAGGTGACGTCGCGAGAGTGAAAGAAGCGGTGAGACGGCGGGTGGTAGAAGTGCCAGTCGGACGCGTCAAGGGGGAAACCGAGGAAGACGCAGGGGAGGGTGCGGGCAGTGAGCTTGTCCGTGCCAGAGGCACGAACGTGAGCAAGGCAGCCCCAGACGCGGAACGCAGACGCGTCACCAGGGGACCCGGTCCACAGAAGGGTCGGCGAAACCTGCGGCCGCTGGGGGTGCGGCCACAGGTTAAGCTGGTGAGCGGCGTAGCGCACGGCGAACGGCCACAGAAAATGGGGTGCACCGGCGTGGATCATGGAGGTGCGAGCCACCTCCATGACCAAACCGATGCGTCGCTCAGCGACCCCATTCTGCTGCGGGGAGTCCGGCAGGGTAAACGTCTGGGTGATGCCCTCCGCACGACAGAAGCGACCAAGGACACCTGAGGCAAACTCGCCACCCCGGTCGGAGTGAAGGCGCAAGGCAGGGAGACCGCGGTGGACACGAGCAGAGACAAGCCAGGGGATGAGAACGTCAGGCACGTCGGCCTTCCGCTCCAGGGGGAAGACGGTGGTGTAGCGCGTGAAGTCGTCGACAAGCACTAGGAAGAAGCGCTCGCGACGCGGCCCATGGACCGGGGCTGGGCCCCAGACGTCCATGTGCAGAGTCTGCAGTGGTGCGGTGGTAGGGGGAAAAGAGGAGGAGTGAGGGGCACGGCGGAGCCGGCCCTCGACACAAGGCGTGCACGGTGGGGCGGGGGAGGAGGGAAACTCGGGGAACGAACCGGGGAGACCAAGGACGAGACCGTGCTGGGACATGTGACGCAGACGTGGGAGTGCAGGGTGACCAAGGCGGTGGTGCCAAAGGAGAGTCGGGTGAGTGAGGGACCGACAGGAGCACGCGGCTGCAACCTGGGTGGACGCAACTACCGGGGGGAAGACCCAGCCGGGGACGGCGCGGTGTCAAGTGTGAACAGGCCGGACACCGGGTCCCGGGGGAAAGTGGTAAGGGGGGCACCAGTGGCGGCCTCGGTACAGACAGCATACCGCTCGTGACCAGGGAACGTAGTGGTGACGCCAAGGTCCTGGAGGCAGCCGACACCAACTAGGTTCCTGGAGAACGAGGGGATATGCAGACCTGTGAGAGTGCCCGAAGGAACCGCCGGACAGGGAAGGGAGGTGGAACTGCGGGCAACGACGGGACCACCGGAGGGGTCAGCAAGAGTAACTGCAGCGGGAACAGGCAGCGGCGTCAGCGTCGTGGAGTCGCGGAAGAAACACCGGGAGGCGCCAGAGTCCAAGGTGAAGGAAAGCGCAGCAGTCGCGCGAGGCAGCAGTGAAGCGGTGGAAGCACCAAGGCTAAGCAAAGCAGGAGATCCTACGCCTGACGCAGCAGGGGAGTCTACGCTAGGCACCGCTACACTAGGCAACACGGGGTAATAAGAGGGAAGCACACTAGAGTCATCAGCATACATCACATGCAAGGCCGCTACAATGGCATCCATGTCCAAGTCAAAAATCCTAATGCTACGCCTAAGCAAGCTGTGCCAGTCCGGGAGGTCGGGCGCCGGGCCAAAGCGCTGGCGGAACAGGTCGTCCAGGCGACGAAAACAGCGAGGAGTAGAATGACCGATCTTACCGCAAACGAAGCCGCGGCGAGGACCGGTCTGGATCTGGTACTGACAGGGCCCGCCTCCAGAACCACCACCCGGTGCACCACCACGCGCACGACCACCACCAGCTCCAGGCCACCCAGGTGGGAGAGTACTCGCCTGCCTCGTCTGCGGCGGCTGCTGCGGCTGCTGCGAAGGCTGCGGCTGCGGCGACTGCTGCTGCTGCGGCTGCTGCAACTGTGGAGGCAGCGGGGCAGCTGGACCGGGCAGGGTCCCCACGTCCGCACGGCACCGGACGACCCGCCTCCACCACTACCCCACCCGCACCCCCGCCGCCTCCGCCGCTCCCAACCTTGGGGCGGCGGCCCTTCGCCGAGCGGGACTGCACTGCAGCAGCAGTCTCAGCCACAGCGACAGAGCCGTCGGAGAAGGTACACTGAGCGGGGGCACAACCCTGAAAGATAGGGACCGGTACTGTACCGCTCGCCAGGGCTATGGAGCGGTGACGAGTCTCTATGGCAGTCAGGGTGTCAACAAAGTCGGTGAGGGTGAGAGCAGCAGGGTGGATGCTAAGGAACTGGTCGCGGGCGGCGGCAAGGCGGTCAGGTAGGCGGGTGGCAAGGAGGTAGAGGGTAGAGGTCATGGGAGGCTGGTGGACTCTAAGCTGAGCATCAGTGCAGGCAGCGCGCCAGGCCTCATCTATCGAGCGCAGGTGGCAGCGAGGTCAGAGACAGTGGGGAAAGACGCCAGGTCAGGAAAGAGCAGGGGAAGGATCAGGCGACCCACTGAGGCAGCAGGAGGGGTAGAATAGCGCTTGATGACAGCATCGAGGTAGGCCTGGGCGGTAGGAATGGTTCTAAAGCGAGGGCGCTCAGTGGGGGGGAGGGCATTGCTAATGGCGAGCTGAGCAAGGGCATCGCGGGAAAGCCAGACAGAGCGGGCAAGGGCAGCAGCGGCAGTGGACTCGCGCTCAGCGGGCGTGGGATCAGCGGGCAGCACAGCAGGGGGGTCAGGGCAGGGGAGCATACCGTCTAGGTGTGCAGAAAGCGGGTGGCCGTCCTGCCGCTGGCCAGTGAGGTGGCGGCGAAGGTCAGCCAACCACGCCTCGAACTCCAGAGGCTGACCCTCAACATCAAAACGAAGCTCAGCAGCCATGAGGGGCAGTGGAGGACAGTGCAGTGCGGTGCAGTGCGATGCAGTGCGGTGCAGTGCGGTCCAGTGCGGTGCAGTGCGATGCAGTGCGGTGCAGTGCGGTCCAGTGCGGTGCAGTGCGGTCAGTGCGATCCAGTGAGGTGCAATGCGATGCAAGGCGGGGCAGGAAAGTGCAGGAGGGTGCAAAGTGGTGCGGGGAACGGGGGACAGTACCAGGAAGTATGGAGGGCCGGGGCAGGTGCGTCGGGGCCGGGCAGGCACGACAAGGCCGGGCGGCGGCGACGGCCGGGCGGCTGCGACGGGCCGGGCGCGGCGACGCCGGCGGCAGCGACAAGGCGGGCGCGACGGCCGGCGGCTGCGACGCCGGCGGCTGCGACGGGGCCGGGCGGCTGCGACGGGGCCGGGCGGCAGGGACGAGGCCGGGCCGGACACAGCAGGGCCGGGCAGGGGCGACGGGCCGGGCGGCTGCGACGTGGCCGGGCGGCTGCGACGGCGGGCGGCTGCGACGGCGGCCGGGCGGCTGCGACGGGCCGGCGCTGCGACGGGGCCGGCGGCGCGACGGGCGGCAGGGACGGGGCCCGGGCAGGCCACAGCAGGGCCGGGCAGGGGCGACGGGGCCGGGCGGGCGAGCAGGGGCCGGGCAGGTGCGACAGGGGCCGGGCAGCCGCGACAGGGGCCGGGCGGGCGCCACGCGGCCGATAGGCCGCGACGGGCCGAGCAGGGGCGACGGGCCGAGCAGGGGCGACGGGGCCGAGCAGGGCGACGGGGCCGAGCAGGGGCGCCGAGCAGGGGCGACGGGGATGGGTAGGGGCGCGACGGGGCCTGGAGGGGCGTTACCAAGCCCAGGTAGGGGCGCGACGGGGCCTGGGGGAGCGCAATGGGGCCCAGGAGGGGCGCTACGGGGCCTGGGAGGAGCGCGACTGGGCTAGGGAGGGGCGCGACGGGGCCTGGGAGGAGCGCAATGGGGCCCAGGAGGGGCGCTACGGGGCCTGGGAGGAGCGCGACGGGGCCCTGGAGGGGCGCTACCAGGCCCTGGAAGGGGCGCGACGGGGCCTGGAGGGGCGCTACGAAGCCCTGAAAGGGGCGCGACGGGGCCTGGAGGGGCGCTACGAAGCCCTGGAAGGGGCGCGACGGGGCCTGGGAGGAGCGCAATGGGGCCCAGGAGGGGCGCTACGAGGCCTGGGAGGAGCGCGACGGGGCCCAGAAAGGGGCGCAACGGGGCCCAGGAAGGGGCGCGACGGGGCGGGGCGCGACGGGGCTAGGGAGGGTCGCGACGGGGCTAGGGAGGGTCGCGACGGGCTAGGAGCACGACGGGGCCCAGCTAGGGGCGAGCGGAAGCGTGAGGGGGGGGGGGGGGGGGATCCTACCTACGCGTGATACCATAACAACAGTGAAATTGATGAATAGAGAGAGAGAGTACACAAACATATACCTAAATGTTGTACTCTCTAGAAGATAACCCTATACAGTCTATACAAGCATGATAACTAAACATGTTTGACAAGAACCTGGCTTTATACATACAATAATGATTGTGCTGGCTTGGTTGCATTCATAACCTTCTCTATGACAAAGCTTGATGGTTGAACAGCAAGCACTGACCTTACCGAGTGCCCCTTGCCATCCGTCCAAGTAATCTCCAAACTGGAAGCTGTCAAACACTCTTGTAACTGTCAGTCTCAATCTGTATGTCGCCTTGGCTCCTGGTTGTATCGAGAAGCTCTTAGGGTTCACAATTACAGACACCCCAGGAGGAGCTGTAATCTTAGCCGTATAAGTTGATGCCGAACCTGCCACATTTGTAACAGTTCGTTTGACCATCACCGACCCTCTCAAGCGCGCTACTGAGACGGTGGCTCGGTTGAGGTTGCGGGGAGCAATGGGTGATAGTTGAGCCCCGGGAAACTCCTGCTGGGCCAATGCGGTGCTCATGCCTGCGAGAAAAATTCCTGTAATGGGCTTGCCTTGCGTCATAGTGAGTCCGGGGTCCAGCACCTTGGGCACGTACACGTGGCCTGCGCCTATCTCCCACGGCGTTGCCACTGATCCATATGCGTTCTTGATGGCGGTTCCGGCGGTGTTAGTGGTGATGGCGGTGGTCATGATGGGGACATGACCTGCGCCGGGCTCCACGAGGGGTACTTCTGCATGATGAGAGCAGCAATGCCCGCCAGGTGAGGCGTTGCCATCGACGTCCCCGACAGCTGCGCATAACTCCCTTTGCTGCCCACGTCGGAACCAAACCCATGCGGAGAAGAGCGCCACGCCCGGGCCGATGATGTCGGCTTGAGGATGGCGTTGGTGGCCTCCGCGCCCTGGGACACCGGTCCACGGCCGCACTAGCGGGCCCGAGGACGAGATGGCGACTGTGGGGCGGCGGATTGAGCGGGTCTGAAGGTGTGGCTGTGGGTTTGATTTGGCAGAGCTGGTGGGCTTGGTGGTGGCGGGGACGACTGCTGCTGTGGCGGATTGCGTTGTCCTGGAATTGTTCGCAGCAGTTGAAGCAGCAGCAGTTGTGGAGGCTGCTTTTCTGGTTGCCCGTCTGACGAGGGAGGCGCCTCCCCTTTGAATGGAGCTGCAGGGGAAGGGGACACAGGGCGACACAAGCGGGGTGACTCTCGATACTGGACGGAGAAAGAGACAGAGAGAGTAGAGGGATTCATTGTGACCTCATAGTGTGCAAACGAACACAGAATTGGGCAGGAGAGAGCAGGGCTAGAGGAGGAAGGGGGAAAAGCAGAGGGGAAATGGTGCTGCTGCATACCTGGCTCCCACAGTGAGGTAGAAGGGCGAGAAGTTGCTGATGGTGCGGTACGTGTTGAACCCGCTCGTCCCGCTGGGCCGGCCGGAGTTGCCAGCAGCAAACGCCACAAACACGCCCGCCGTGTTTGGCATTCAGAAACGGGATATCATCGAAGTAGGTGGGCGTCCGCGCTGCTGCCGCCCAGCGAGAGCGAGATCACATCCACCCGTCAGCCACGGCCTGGTTGGTGGCGGCCACGATGTCGGCCTCGGTGGCGAACTGGTCCCCGCGGCTCATCCAGAACACCTTGTAAACCGCCAGGCGCGCTGCTGGCGCCATGCCACTAGCCTTGCCCGCGCTGCCGAGCGTCACGCCGAAGTTGCCTGCTGCTGCTCTGCAGGAGGGCGGGAGGGGGTAGTGTGGGAGCGGCCGTGGGATGCGCGGGGGCGACGTGGTTCTCGTGAGTAGAGGAAGAAAGGGATAAGGAGCATCCTGAGAGGAGGGGGAGAGTGAGAGGGAGAGGCGACAGAGAGAGGGGTGCAGGGAGAGCATGCGAACACGAATCTGCATCAACTCACCCCGCACACCAGGTTGCCATGGCCGGCAGCGTCGCGAGGGGAGAGCCAGTCATAAGTCAGATCCGGCCTCATTCTCGCTCTGGAAGCCCGCCGCGAAGTACCGCGCGCCGATGAGCTTGTTGCTGCACGCCGATGACGGGAAGTCCGCGCTCGGTCTGGCACTTGCCCACCCACCCCGCGGGGCGCGACGTTGCAAAGCCCTGCAGCGGAGGGAGGATGAATGGATGGGGCAAGCTGGAGGGGTTGAGCACCAAGCAATATGCGGGTGCGCGCTGGAAGAAGAAGTTTGAGACGCGCACACTAGCATGCTTCACTCCCCCTCCCCGCTCCCCCTCCCCGCTCCCCCTCCCCGCTCCCCGTCCCCGCTCCCCGTCCCCGCCCTGTGACGCACCGCCCCGCTGAACGGACGGGTGTTCCGGCCATACGCCCGTGTCGATGATCGCGATCACGGTCCCCGCGCCCGCCTTGCTGCGCCCGCCCACGGCGGGCCACACGGTGCTGGGCAGCCCCAGGAACGTGGGCGACGCGGTCGTCAGCTTGCGGAACACGCGGGAGCGCCGCACCGACGCCACGGATGGGTGGCGCTTTAATCTCTGCAGCTGCGCGGGGGTGAGCGGCGCCGCGAACCCGTTGGTGGTCTGCTGGAAGTTGTAGAGCACGCTGGCTCGCCGCGA